ACTCGCCAACTTGAGGGGGAGTGTTAAGGTTCTAGATGGTTCTAGAACATATCTTGTGTCATAAGTATTAGAATATGTATTAGGAAAGTGTATATTCAGCTTAGCTTGTGTATCAAGTAACCTAAAGATGTACATGTTGTATATAAGGCTGTCGCCTTTGATGAATAAGTGACAAGGTTTTCCCCAAATTCTTTCTAAGCTTACAAGAACCGATCACACGTTTTCGCACTAATTGCGTCGATGATTACTAAACTATTTCCCAATCCAAAACTGAAAATTTTCAGGTGGATTGATGTACAAGTTACCTCAGAGCAATCTGCAATACGTTACATCGATAACATTCTTGCTCACGACCTACGCCAAATACATGAAAGCCACGAAACACAACTTCAACTGCGGAAACTATGTTATTGTCCCCAACGCTCTGATAAACCTATCGAAGCGACAAGTGGATTACATACTCGGTGTGAATCCGATGAAGATGTCGTACATGGTTGGATTTGGCACTAATTTCCCAAAGAGAATCCACCACAGAGGATCATCTCTACCGAGCAGAGCAGTCCGTTCAAACTCTCAGGGATGCAACGGCGGATTCCAATCTTTCAGAACACAAAACCCTAACCCTAACGGGAGCAATCGTGGGAAGACCGGATCGAAACGACGAGTATCCAGACCAAAGAGACGATTATAGCCGGTCCGAACCAGCTACTTACATCAACGCCGCGTTCGTCGGACCAGTGGCGTTTTTCTCCGGCTCCGGAAAGTCTCTTTGAATCAATCGCTCACTTACTCTCACTCAATTTGCTTTTTCAATTTGGAAAGTTGTTAGATTGGTTAGTAGCAGCAGCTTAAAACCCTTACCACGAAATTTACTTGCTAGAACGGGTAAGGCTATACAAATGTAAACTCTAATTGGCTTTTAGGTCCATAACTAACGAACTATTTATCTGTAGCCGAATTGGTAAGAACATTCGGAGTTATTTGTGGTGATTAATCTTGTTCTGAAACATTCCAATGATTCATGAATATCTCTAATTTTTAGGGTTATTGAGTTGATAGATTGATCCGTTGATCATATCAAAAGATGGAAGAATGATTTCTATCGAGTAAATTGGTTAAACCAAAAACCGGATTGTACCAAACAAATTAGAAAAAATGAAGAAGGGGACAAGAATCCACCAAACTGGCAATCACGTTAACCTGCCGCAGCTCATCAACCTCGTGGGTCTATTTCCCCCTGGACTTTCTGGCTTTTTCCTTATTCACAAAATTTAATATTGTAAATTACTAAACTCAACAAACAATGGTTGACTAAAAAATACTATATTTCTATGTTAAATTCGAATTTTATTTACAGAATTTACATATTTTATTGTTGACCCGTTGGATCTAGATTTATGAAAACCAACTCTTGGGAATTACAATTTTTCAAAAGAAAATGTTACTACTTTGTTTTGCATAGAGGACACTTTGAAAATAAAATAAAATTTTAAAAAAAACCTCAAAAATTGTGGACCAATCCATCTTCTTGGAGTTCAATTTGAAGTCTCTTTGGACTCTCTTTGTTTGCTCGTTTTTCGTGTGTTTTTAAATAAAATAAAATTTAAAAAAAC